ACAAGAGTTGAGCTTTGAGAGCCTCTGCCTAGATTTCAGAGTATGTACGGAAATGCCTGAATGTCCAGGCAAAAGTCTGCTGCAGAGGAGGAAACCTCATGGAGAACCTCTCCTAGGGCAATGCAGAGGGGAAATGTGGGGTTGGAACTCCCACATAAAGTCCTCCACTGAGGCACTGCCTAGTAGAGCTGTGAGAAGAAGGCCACCATCCTCCAAAACCCAGAATGGTAGATCCACTGACAGCTTGTACTGTGCACTTGGAAAAGCCAAAGGCGCCTGGAAAAGCTAGCCCATAAAAGCAGCTGCTGGGGTTGGACCCTGCAGAGCCACAGGGGCAGAGCTGCCCAAGGCCTTGGGAGCCCAGCTCTTATGTCAGCTTGTCCTGGGTGTGAGACATGGTCTCAAAGAAGATCATTTTGGACCTTTAAGATTTAATGAGTCCCCTGTTAGGCTTCGTGCATGGGGCCTGTAGCCCCCTTGTTCTGGCCAATTTCTCCCTTTTACAATGGGAACATTTACCCAGTGCCCATGCCCCCAAAGAATCTAGGAAGTACTTAACTTGCTTTTGATTTTATAGGCTCACAGGCAGAAGGGTCTTGTCTCAGATGAGACTTTGGACTTGGACTTTTGAGTTAATGCTGGAATAAGTGAAGACTTTGAGAAACTATTGAGAAGGCATGATTGGTTTTGAAATGTGAGAAGGACATGAGATTTGGGAGGGGCCAGGCTGGAATGGTATGATTTGGCTGTGTGTCCTCACCCAAATCTCATCTCAAATTGTAATCCTCATGTGTCAGGGAAGAGATGCGGTGGGAGATGATTGGATCATGGGGTGGTGTCCTTCATGATGTTCTCATGACAGTGAGTTCTCATGAGATCTGATGGTTTAAAAGTGTGGCACATTCCCCCCTTGCTTTCTCTCTCACCACCATGTAAGATGTGCCTTGCTTCCCTTCACCTTCCACAATGATTGTAACTTTTTTTGAGGCCTCCCCAGCCATGTGGAACTGTGAGTCAATTAATCACTTCTTTATAAATTATCCAGTCACAAGTAGTTCTTTATAGCACTGTGAAAATGGTCTAATACAACCAGTAATTCCTAACCTTTTGAAAATATCACCCCAGCCATGTTTCATTTTGCAATGTTCCTTCTTCAAGAAGCTAAATATCCGTAGCCATTCATTCAACCAATCTTCACCCCATGATCATTCTGTTTAAAATACCACTGCATTATGGAAATGGCCCTTCACTATTTTCTCCACCCAAGATAGGCTTTTCCATTCATCCTTTGATCATGCAACATCTATACAGGCAACTATATTTGGGATTATTTAAAAATGAACCTTAAATCATGAAATCATAGAGGTGGCCAGATGAATTAAATATAAGCCCTCCAAATTCATAAAATACAAATTTCTTCATTCAATCAGGTAAATTTGCAAGCTAGTGATTTCTGAAAAGTAACCCAGGCTGTTTTAATTTTTTCAAGACATCTCATGGAATTAAGATTTTAATTTATACATCTATATGAATGTAAACAGACCCATGCATAAATCCAGGATCATTTATATCAAAAGTGATCTACGTGATTTCTACTAGAGATTTTTACTCTTTAGAAAATGTAACAATTTATACTTACTTGTTTAGTAATATGTCTCTCTTAAAAGTATGCTATAAATCAATTAGCTTTGAACCTAGACCAGAGGAAAACTCAGGGTCCCTATCATTTCTGTGATTTATTTGAATCTAACCATATTCAAAGATAGGCAAACCTAACACTAATATTTTTCATTCCCATTATCCTCAAATTCATGTCTATTCTGGTTTGATAAAATGTTTATAGTATAAGGTAATAAAACAAAGACAACATAATGCATGCACTTAATGAATCTTCTACCCTACTAGGATATAAAAATAGGAAGACTAACAGCTAACTCTTAATAAGTGCTATGTGCCAGGATAAGTTCTCTGGACGTATTTTCTCATTTAATCCTTACAACACATGTATATGAAGCAAATAAATTATCTCTTAACAACAGAACTAGGACTAGCTTTTGTTTATGCCATATTTTCGAAATCCTCACCTGTGTATCATACACATATCACAGCAAAAATAAGTGAGAGAAAGCTGGATCTCCCTGAGCCTCAGCTTTCCTATCAGGTTATACAACTGTGCCATTCTTTATTTCTGGAATTTTCCTGTGGTTCCAAAACATGTTATAGATGTAGAAAATTTTCAACATTTTGAATGTGCAATTTCCATCTTATTGTGTTCCCTCACATATGGTGTTCTTGCTCAAAGAGCATCAGTATTTTTAACTTGCACAATGTTAGTAACTGCTTTGAATTATTCTTCATTGACAAGCATCCAAATATCTTTCACCAAATTAGAAAACTGCAAGTATTATTTAGGCTAGTGTGTTCATTGATTTTTCAGACAAATTTTCCAGTAGAATCACTGTATTTTACATTTGGAAGATATCATAAAGACAACTTAATATAAAGTTATCTCTTTTTACAAGTGAAAATCTACAATGCAGAGAGGTTTAAGTGTCTCTCCTAAGTCAATGTTTAGTTAGTAGTCAAAACCACTAATCGCAGCCCAGCTGTTTTCTGCATAAAAATGTTAATTATTATAAAATCCATATTTTTATACATCACGCTGCAGAAGATGCATCAGGAATAATTGGCACATTATTATAATACTGTATTATCATCAGTATTACAATGTAACACTTGCATCTATCAATTATATAATGCTTTTGTATATCATTGCTATTTTGTTCGTTTTTTTTTTTTTTTTTTTTTTTTTTTTTTTTTTTTTTTACTGTATGTCTTATGTCCCTAACTAGATTGTGACTTCCTTGTGGTAGGCACAATTTCTTTTTTAAATGTTTCTCATAGCTTTTGGTAAGTCTTAAACATATGCAAACTGCTTAACACAGATTGACATAAACATAATTAAAACTAATACCATATTGCTCAAAATACAGGCAAATGACTCTAATACTCTATGGATGCAGGTGAATTTGTTGGTCTGAAAGGACAAAGTTGAGAAATTGCCCTCATTTCTTATCAAGCCCTGAGATTGTTCTTGAGGGTAAGTGGTTTTAGGCCTTGAAGAGATTGGTGAAGGGAATAGAAATTAGAGGGAATGATAAGGGAGTTGACTAACCCTCAAGGACACGTGGCAGCATATGCAGATCAAATTGATCAATACCAACAATAATAACAAACACTAAGCATCCAGCACTGCTGTCAGTACTCTGCCTATATTAAATCAGCTACCCCTCAAAACAACCCTAGGTATTTTTCTCATTTTGTGGATGAAAAAAGTTGAGGCTCAGAGAGGTTAGGTCATCTGCCCAAGTGAACTGGCTAGTAAGTAGTAGAGCCAGGTTTCAAACACTGACTGCTCAGGGCCTACGCTCCTATTCACAGTGTGATGCTTAGGATGGACTAGATAAGCATGTGGTGGTTAATACAATGCCTAACAAATGCCTGCTCCCATAGTGGAAGCTCAATTGATATTAGTTCCCCCTGCTTTCTGGTTTTCAACACACTGGCCCCATATTTATTTACTCAACCACTCCTTACTCACCAAACACACACACACACACACACACAATGACACATTCACACACACTCCAGTATTTTTTTTTTTTTTGAGACAGAGTCTCGCTCTTTCGCCCAGGCTAGAGTGCAGTGGCATGATCTCGGCTCACTGCAACCTCCGCCTTCCAGATTCAAGCGATTCTCCTGCCTCAGCCTCCTGAGTAGGTGGGATTACAGGCACCTACCACCACACTCGGCTAATTTTTTGTCTTACTTAGTAGAGACAAGGTTTCACTATGTTGGCTAGGCTGGTCTAGAATTTCTGGCCTCGTGATCCACCTGCCTGGACCTCCCAAGGTGCTGGGTTTACAGGCATGAGCTACCGCGCCCAGCCACACTCCAATCTTTTATCAACAAAGTCCACACTCAGATATCTAGGTCAGTAAGTGTCAACTATATATAGATACACACATATAAATATTCTTCTTCGAGATGGGATTTTAGATCACATACCTAAAATGAGTCCTAGGATGAACCTCCGCTCTCCCATCACTCTCCAAGGTGACTGTAAATACACACACGAACACTGACTCTGGATTCCAAACATATTCACATGCATAGCCTGATATAAGGCAGAAGTCAACTCTGTACTTTTCTTTTTCCATTATCCAGGGAAATGCATGAGTTACCATGACAGATGCCAAAGAGACCCTTGGCTCTGGTATTGGAAATTGGGAGGCAATGGTGAAATGAAGTAAGAAATTCCAGCGCCAGAAGGTGCATGCAAGTCAGTAACGACTTTTCCCAGGAGCTTGCTCTTTTGGGTAAGTGCTACACGTAGAAGCCCGAACTCGCCGCTTAAGCCACCCTATTCTGAACCCCACTTAGGCCGCAACAGATGCACACACTGCGGGGAGCCTCATTTGCAGGAGATGAGTGTTCCCTTGCTCTATTTTAATCCTGGCAGCCCAGCCGGGGAAGGTTTTGTCAGAAATGGTGGAAAACAGTGACCACAAAGCTTTCTGGAGTAAAGGCTAGGCAGCTCAGGAGCAGCGAATCACAACTAGCACAGTATTTAATAATTCAAGGGAAAACAAGTTTCCTTCCCACCGGCCGGCACTTTTGCAGCCAGCTGGGGTGCCGTGGCAGCGCCTGGGCGACGACCTTCCTGGCTCTGGAGGGCGGGCGCGGCGGAGACGCGGGCAGCACTGCCCCGTGGCTCCGGAAACGGCCTCTCACCGGTCCTCAAGGACCGAATCCATCCTGATAAATACCCTCCTGGCCCTACACGGGAAGGGCAAGTTCAAACGCAAGGCCCTGAACCCGCACGTCTAGAGACCCCAGCCAGGCACCCCCGCCCTCCTCGCCGTGCAGTCGCGCACTGTGAACGACAGTCCAGCGCCAACCCGGCTTACTGCGCCTGCGCACTCCCGGGGCTCCCTTGAGCTCCTTTCCCCGGCCTCCGGCCCGTCGCTTAGCAACGCGCTAGTCACAGTCGCCGCGCTCTGCGCGGGCTGCGTCGCTGCCCTTCCCGGGAGGCTCCTCGCTGCCTGGTGCTGTAGAGGCCCATGGAGGGAAAGGAGGATAAGCATCAGTAAGTGCTGGGGTTTGGTGTCTTATTTTCCCTCCCCAAAACCATTTTCCTCCTTCACTGGGAGGTCGGGGTCCTCAGAATGGACAAGGCCAAGCTCAGACACTCCCCTTGCTGCCTCTGATTGCCAGTTGGCTGAGCGCGTACAACAATAATTTTTAAAACGCACCGTTTACTGAGCACATACTCTGTGTAGGGGACTTGACTTGCATTACCAGGTCTAAAATTCTTGAAGTCATCCACTCCTCACACTTATTAGCAGATGCTGTAGGCTTTACCTTTAAAATTATCCAGAACCTACCACTGTTCATCACTTTCAGTACTGTCCCCACCCTGTCCCAAGTACCAGTTTCTCTTGCCTGGATGCTGCAACCGCCCTGCAGCTGGTGGCTTTGCTTTTTCCTTCCCCTTCTGCAGCCTCCTCGACACAGCAGTCAGAGCGGTCCTCTTAAAGCCCAGGTTAGATCGCGGTCTCCATCGGACATCATAGGGTAAAAGCCCAAGCTCCTCCAATGGCCCCTTCCGTTTTATCTACAGCTTGCCTCCCTCTGACAGGACCCTGCTACAGCAAACAGGCCTTTCTGTTCTCATCTGCAGTGATTCAGACCAGCATCAGCAGCACCTGGGAACTTGTTAGGAATGCAATTTTGAGGACTTCCCCACCCCACAGACACACTGAATCAGAAACTCTATGGCTGGGGCTCAATGATCTGGTTTTAAGCAAGGCATCCAGTAGATTCTGAGGTACCTTAAAATTTGAGACTATTAATCAAGGCAGTACATACAGCTAGTTAGGAATGATGTGGAGCCAGGGATACCTTCTTCCAAAGCCTGTATTTTTGTCCCTAGAACAATGGTTCTCACACATTACCATGCATAAGAATCAGCTAAACAGCTGGTTAAAACACGTTCCTGGGAACCAGCCCGAGATTCTGATTTAGCTGGTTGAAATGGGGCCCATAAATTTGTATTTCTAACAAGGTCACAGTTGATGCCAATGCTGCTACTCTGGTGCCCATACTTTCAGAAGCACTGCACTAAGGATGGTTCTGCTGCGAGCTTTGGCAGTTACAGTTCACTTTACTGGAATGCTTTCCCCACAAATATCCACTTAGCTCTCTCCTCCCCTCTTTCTGTTTTCAATTGCCACCTTCACAGTGCAGCCTCCACCCTACTTAAAAATGCAAACCTACCTCCCACATACCTGCACTCCCTTTTCCCATTCCCTACTTGATTATTGTCCTTGGCATTTAACAGATGATGTAATTTACTTTTTCATCTACCTTTCCCCATTAGAATGTAAGCTCTGTGAGGGCAGGATTTTTTGTCTGTGCCAACAACAGCACCTGGCATGCAACTCAAATATCTGTTGAAACAATCAATTATTCAGTGTTATTCTCATATCACTCACAATAGGTATTATTGTTCCTATCATGCAAATGAGGAGAGCAAGGCTCAGATATTAAATGGCAGAACAGGGATTCCAGTCCCAGTCCGACTCACTTCAGAGCCCATCAGTGCTTTTATCTGGGCCTTTCTTCTGGCAAGAGATTGCTAGAGTCATATATTTCACGCTTATTTATCAACCCATAGGCACACACCACAAGTGCTTAATCAAGTGAATTTAACCCATAGGCACACAAGTGCTTAATCAAGTGAATTTATGTAAGCAAATAGCCCCAGTCCTTTTCTTCACCATAAGTGTATATTGTTGGGTGATAACCATGAGAAACAGGTGGAAAAACTGATACCCGAAGTCTACAATAATAAATTAATTGACCCCAAAGTCTCTACCTTTAAATGAATAGGTATATCTCCAGAAAGGTAATAAAAAAAGGTTTAGAAGCTCTTTACATTTTACCAGTAATCAGTTTTTCCAAATCCTTTGCAGAGAGGAATTTTTGTTGGGAAGCAGGGAACTAGAATCCAAGGATTCTGAATGTTGTTTTTATATGTATTGGAGGAGTGATTGAGGGTATTTAAACAAAGCTGGAGTAAACAATTCCAGGAGATTCACCAGAAATATGTATGTCTTACAATGGTAGTCCATTTACCTTTGATCAACAGGACAATTTTCCTGATGTTGGGTACACAGTGAATGAAACAATCTGCACCTTCATGGAACTTATTGACTAATAAAGGGTATTTGTAGTGCTTGGTAAAAACAAAAAACTAGGTACATAAAAATTATGGTGTCAATAAAAGAAATGAACAAAGTATTAAAATAGAGAATACATGCAGTGGGGGGAAGGCAATCTAGGAAAAGCTGCCAAGGAGATGGTTTTAAGCTGAGACCTAAATATCCTGAGCCAGCTGTTCTGGGAGCTGGGGAAGAGCTGTCCAGGCAGAGGAAACAGCATGTGCAAATGCCCTGAGGGAAAGAGGTTGGTGTGTTCCCGGAACTGACAGAAGGCAGTCTCATGGGAGAGTCTTGAGTGAGGTTGAAGAGATTCACTGGGGCAAGTCACACAGGACCTTAGAGCTATAATTAGAAGGCAGTATTTTATTACAAATGAATGGAAAGCTACTTGAGGGTTTTAACTAAAGAGTGATGTGGGCCAGGCATGGTGGCTCACTCCTGTAATCCCAGCACTTTGGGAGGCCGAGGCAGGCGGATCACAAGGTCAGGAGTTTGAGACCAGCCTGGCCAACATGGCAAAACCCTGTCTCTACTTAAAAAATATATATATACATATATATATATATGTATATATATAAATTAGCTGGGCATGGTGGTGCATGCCTGTAATCCCAGCTACTTGGGAAGCTGAGGCAGGAGAATCACTTAAACTCGACAAGTGGAGATTGCAGTGAGCTGAGATAGCGCCACTGTACTCCTGCCTGGGACAGAGCGAGACTCCATCTCAAAAAGAAAAAAAAATTACATGGTAGAAGAGATGGACCTGGCATTCGTTTGAAGGAAGGCAGGTGTTATACTTTAAGGGCTGTGTATAATGTTAAATGGTGCTACCTGCTTTCTCTGTGAATTTGGAATTTCATTGACTCACCTGCAGCGGGATCACAGCTTTGATTTTTAAAAGCTATGTAAAAAGTATTCAAATTCATATATTTCATTCTTTGCTTTTCAGGTATGTGAATTTTAAAAATATTGCCTTTTATAATTTCAATTTCTCCTTAATTGAAAGGAGAAAAATTTGATAAACTTTCTTCCTAAACATTAAAATTTTTTTTTAATTTTAGTAATTTTTACATTTGTATCAGTTTACTTACTAAAGGCAAAACATGAAGAGATTGACTTGATTTTGACTACCTACATAGTGTTCTTTTCTTGAAAAGATAAATAATGGTGCTCCTTTGGTAGCTTTAAGTTTGCCAGACAAGGTTTGAAAATTAACTAGTTTATCCATGTCCAGATAGCTGTTTACTAGGTAAAGAGGGGAATAAAGCCATTCTCTTGGTAATAAAACTTTTAAAGAAGATGAGTTAAGTATAGCAGGTAACTTATCCATACACAGGTAACTTATCCATACACATAAGTACTGCAAACATGATTTGGAAGCACAAATCCAATCACTACTCTTTCTTTACTCTAGCAAATGAGAGTTGGTACAGTGCACTGGTATATTATAATGAGTAATCATTACTAACTCAAATCCATTTATCACTTATATGATTTAGAATCAGAAAATGGCCTCCTAAATTTTAATAGCACAGACTCTTATAACTATTAATACAGCCTAAATTGTCTTGACTGATGTTTGTAATATATTTAAATCTTACGTAATTTTGACTCAATGTTGCAATGATTACTGGGGCAAATGATTTACTATTTATATTTTTCAGACAGCATAAAATAGAGGATGCTGCTATAGCATATGTAACTGAAAGTAAAGAAGAAATTAAACATGAAAACAACCCTGGACAAAGCATACAACATTCAAAACCACGTGTTGGAAGAGGACGTATCTATTATGCTAAATTCATTAACACAAATGCAAGAACATACAGTGAACCAGTTCCCTACATAGATCCAAAAAAAGGGCCAGAAATACAGGTTGGACAGATATTCATTGTATACAAATAGTGATTTAGATTCAGATGCTGTTTCACAGAATAATTTGGTCACAGACTATAAAGGATGAGACACATCTTAGTAGTACTTATCATAATCCAATAGTTAAAAGCAGTAAACTGGAACTATTCTGGCAGATGACTTTTACATATAAGCAATACAGACACAGGGAGGGAATCTAAATAATTATTTATCTAGAATGGGTCAGATTATTGCCATGAAGTAGTGCTTTGGGGTTGCTAAAGAAATTTCATGTATATATTGTATTTATGATATATATCCTAATATAAAAATATCCCATAATACTCAATAGTGCACATATCTTCTGTAAAATAATAACTATTTATTGAAAGCATATGAAGTTCTAACGAGCTAAGTGTTTTATATAAATTACATTCTTTCATCTCTACAACAATTTCTATGAAGTCTTATTGGATATAGTTTACAGAAAACACATACTCCGATGAGGTTAATTAACATATCTGAGGTTATGTAATAAGCAAATGTCACGGTCATAGTTCTGATCCAGAGCTGTTGGTTTAGCCAAACCACACTTCATTGACTATGCCATACTAAAAATCTTCCATTATCTTTTTTATAAAGTCAGGTTGGTTGAGGTACAATTTATTGTATTTGTTTCCTATTGCTGATATTACAAATTTTCACACACTTAAAAGCTGGTTAAAGCAGCACAAATTTATTTTCTAGCTCAAAATTCCAAGATCTGTCTCACTGGCTGTGGCCAGGCCTGGTTCTTTCTGTAGGCTCTAAGAGTGAATCGGCTTCCCTGCCTTTTCCAGCTTCTACAGGCTGCCCACATTCCTTGGCTTATGGCACCTTTTTCTTCAAAGCCAGCAACACAGCATCTTCAAATCTTTCTCTGACCCACTCTCCTGACTCTCTCTTATAAGGACCCTTGTGATTAGATTGGACCTACCCAGATAATTCAGGATAATCTCATCTCAAGTTACTTCATCACATCTGCAAAGTCCCTTTGCCATGCAAGGTAGCATTCACAGGTTTGGGGCTTAAAAGATGAACGTCTTTAGGGACAGAGGGAGCATTATTCTACTTACCCTTACACAGTAAATTAGTCACCCTCATAGTATATAATTCTCTGAATTTTGGCAAAAGTGTAGTCATGTTACTCCACCACAATCAAGCTATGAATCATTTCCAACACCCTCAAAAGTCCCCCTATGCCGTTTTGAGGTCATCCCCTTCCTCTACTCCAACAACCACTGATCTGCTTTCCATAGTTTTGCCTTTTTCAGAAAGTCATGTTAATGGGATTATACAGTATGTAGCCTACTGAACCCGTCTCAGAATAAAGCATTTGGGATTTGCCCATGTTGCTGCCGCATGTCACTAGTTCATTTCATTTTGTTGCTGCTGCATACATGCCATGTGACTTTGGGCAAGTCACTCTAAGCTTCAATTTCCTTATTTATATAATAAGGATAGTAATTGTCCCTCTCATAGGGTTTTTGTGAGAATTAAAATATTTTTGTCAGTTACTGTTTTAGACACTAGAGATACAGCAGTGAACAAAGCAAATGGGGGAAAAAGTCCTGTCCTTACATGGCTTACGTTTTAGGGAGGGAATAGATACAACAAGTAAGCTGTACTGAAATGTTACGTGGTATTAAGTGTGGCATGCAAGGCAGGATAAGGAATGCTGAGGCAGAGAGGCAATTTTAAATCGATGATCAGAGAAGGCTTCACTGAGTCACATTTGAGTGAAGACCTGAGGGAGAGTGAGGGAGTGAGCCTGCAGGAACGTGGCGGAAGAGCATTCATAATGCACAAAGGAAGCGCTCACTAAACATTAGCTCTTAGTGGCAGCAGAATCCTAGTCTACTGCTCTTTGCACAGTGACGGGGACTGAGGAGCCCATCATCTGCTGCTGAGAGCAGGATCCTATGAGAGAAGACCTAGCACAGTGCTGGGCCCAGCAAGTGTTCAACAGATGGGATTCAAAATATGCCATAGCAAAGGTAATGGCAATTTCTCATGTAGATTTGTTTCAGCATGATATTCAGAAAAGGCAGAAAAAGAAATGTGTACCATCTAAATGGTCTCAGACAACGGTGCCAGTGTCAGCCTCCTACTACTCCACTTCTTTCCTCATCTTCTGTGTGTGAGGTATAGCAGCGATTGAACACTGAGATGGAGACTGCTTTTTGTGAGCTCTCTTCATACTGATAACATCTGTTCTTGTCATAGACAGAATACCATGGCAGTGTGTGTGAATGTGAGATCTTCTCAGGGCAGGAATTCCTGTGGTTAAATGTTCTTTTAATTTCATGAGCTGAACGCTTATAAGGGCCATATTGAGGGTACTTCATTTTGTAAACTTGTTTCTGCTCTCATAGCAATTATTTCAGATTTTAAAGAAATCAGTTGTTATTGTTAAACCAGACCTACAGTGGAGAAATTAATTTGGTACCGAAATCCAGATTAGTAAAGTTCTTATATTTCTTACAAAGGCTCATGAATTACTCTGAGGTCTAGTTCAGGACTGAGTTTAAAACTGTTCACTGAACTCATCCTTACATTAGCGATACTAAGACAAAGAAGCTGGATGGAGAACAGAAATATGAAACATAAAAGTTTAAAAACTTAATCCCAACTAATTTTCTCTTTTCTTCCTACTCTATAGGTATATTGGGGGGGAAAAATGAACAAAGGTGTTAAGAGCTGCTATCAGCAAGACTAGGTGACAGAGCAGTAGTAGAATCATTATTCGTGCTGGACCTTTAAGTGATGGTGAAAGTGAGTTTGAGATGAAGTAAGAGCTCGGATAAGGGAAGCTGGCAGTGAATATGAATAAGGAGAGATACAGAGAAAGACTGAAAATACATCACTGAGTTACAAGTATGTCTGATTTGGGTGTGGCAGGAAGGAAATGTTTATATTTTTAAAACATTCTGGGCAACATGGTGATACCCTATCTATACAAAAATTGTTAAAAAAAAAATAGCTGGGTGCAATGGAGTGTGCCTGTGATCCCAGCTACTTGAGAGCCTGAGGCAGGAAGATCGCTTTCACCTGGGAAATCAAAGCTGCAGTGAGCTGTGTTTATGCCATTGCACTCCAGCCTGAGTGGCAGAGTGAGACCCTATCTGTGTAAGCCACTGTGCCCAGAAAGAAAATAGTCTGGGCACAGTGGCTCACACCTGTAATCACAACACTTTGGAAGGCCAAGGCAGGAGGATAACTTGAGTCCAGGAGTTCGAGACCTGCCTGGGCAACATAGTGAGACCTTGTCTCTACAAAAATAATAATAATAATAATAAATAGCCAGGTGTAGTGGCATGCCTCTGTAGCTCCAGCTATTTGGGAAGCTGAGGCAGTAGGATGGCTTGAGCTCAAAAGTTCAAGGCTATAGTGAACAATGATCATGCCACTGCATTACAGCCTGGGCAACAGAGCAAGACCCTATCTCTAAAAACAAATTTAAAAATAAAATAAAACACAGAAGCAATAATGAACCTTAAATATATTCATTTTCAAGTATTCAAGGACTAATAAAGAATGTATATTTCACATATTTGTAAACTGTTCCTTCGTTTAAGATGACAGGTTTCTTTTTAAAGGTTAGCTTGGTTAAGAAAAAAAACTGGTTGACAGTAATGCTGTCTTTACACTAAGAGTAAAGAAAATAAACTTGCCTAAATATTTTATATGACACCTGTTGTTTTCTGTGTTTTGCTAAGATCGTATCTTTAGGATGCAACACAAGATTGGTTGGTTTTAATTATTTACAAGATTTTTAAGATTTCATCCATTTCTACCTAGGAACATAAAATTGGGAATGCTAGAAAAGGTAAGAAGTTTTAGCTCAGTCACTTTCAAAGGAAACTGGTTTGATTGTCTTATATATTTAAATATTGGTACTTTTAAAGAGACTGTACTAGGTTGGTATTTTCGAAAGTTTATTTTTCAGAACACTGACCTTTGCCTACATGCTTAACAAAATAAATTTGCAAAGTCAAATATGTTTTGGAAAAGCTGTATTTTTATAAACCTTTCTCAGAGCTTCACAATTCACATTGGTATACAAAGGTTCTAAGAAGTCTTGTGATAAACTTATTTATCTTTGCTTTTCTATTTCCCGAAGTTATTTAACTGTAGACACCTCTTTTTAAAATTTTTATAACACCTATTAATATGCTAGAGAACTGGTGTTCCGGTTTAGGAATTTTTTATGTGGGGGTGGCATTATGAACTACTTAAAAAATGATTTTTTTCTTTTTTTCTTTTTCTTTTTTTTTTTTTAGCACGTATAGTATCTATAGCAAAAGAGAGAGGTACTGTGTAACCAATGTGACCTTAGCTGCCCTAGTGTTTGTGATAGTACTTCAATTTTTTAAAGCCACTGAGTTCTACCAACAAAATGCGATTGTTTATGTCTAGTTTTGTCAAAAGCCCACATTTCCTTGGGAAACCCCAAAGTATGATTTTATGTTCCACAGATGACCACCAGCAGCCATCTTGGCTTGGCCATTGTGGCTGTGGCTGTGGAGCTTGACTTACGACCTCTTTCATTGGCTTAATTGGTTTCTCTAGGATATTTCACTTGCTTTTACAACTTTTCTTCTGAGGATTCTCCCTTAATTTCCCAAAAAATGGAAAATAAGTAATCTTAACTAAAACATCTCTGAAAGTTTAGGAATACTAGGAGTATAACATAGAGACAGCCTTACACTGGCTTCCAAATGTGACTAAGGGACCCACATAGCCACATAGCCACAAGTGCAATAGCCATTGGCTTTCCCAGGGCTGCAGGTTAGAAGGAGCCCTGTCATCAGGAATCTCCAGGCACCTCCTGACCATGGAGCCCCTGGGGTTTCCTACCCATATCATCCTGGGGTAGGAAAGAAGACAGGCCTTATAATGGGAGGGAGAACTTGCAGGGTCCAAAGTTTGAGTTAGGCAAAAATCTCTATAATCTGCAAGATACAGCCTGTTCCCCAGAGCCCAGACAAAGCCATCACACAGGGCAACTTTTCCCATTTCTTATTTTGTCATAAATAACTCCGTGTTAACCCCAACAATCCAATGTAAGTGATGGTACACAGAACAGTAAATTTTTTGTTAGTCTTTCAGTGTTAGTCCCTTCAGTGTGAAATAAAGATTAAAAACAAGCCTCCATTTATCTCTTTCCTTCATCTCATAATCTTTTATGAGTAAATGCTTGGACCAAAAAGGCACACACATGTTGCATGGGCACATATGCACTTCCACTCTTCCAAGAGCAAACCAAACTTTTTAGCCCTAAGGAAGACTATCCGGAAACTCAAAAGATAACCTTTTTTTTTTTGGACTTTAGGATTCACTCAGCTAAAGTGAAGATGCATCCACTTTATAACACTCATCAGAACACTTTCACAAACTGCAGAGTCTTAAAATCACCAATCACATTTCAGGAAAAACTATTCTCCATTTCCTTTATATTTGTGAAACTAAGACCATTTTGGCAACTCAATTTAAAAGAAGTTTTCTCAAAAAATGAAATTATATCTCTGCTTTAAGTCTAGTTTTGCATTACACTTTTAAGAAAAAATTATAGCCAGACATAGGGGCTCATGCCCATCATCTGCTACTCAGGAGGCTAAGGTGGAAGGGTCACCTGAGTCCAGGAGTTTGAGGCTGCAGTGAGTTATGATGGCACCACTACACTCCAGCTTGGATGACAGAGTGAGGTGAGACCCTGTCTCAAAAAAATAAATTCATAATAATAATTAAAGTCTATCAGACATTTCCTTGTGGTTCACTTATCCCAGAGTCATTTTTCCAGTAACTTGGGTATTAGCAAAATAAGTTTTTGATCAACAAAAGTAGATGATATGAAGTGTATGTGTATGCTTTACAATCTTATCATAGAAGAACTTTCTCAGGATACTTACGGCTTTGGTTTGAATGTTTGTCCCCTCCAAACTCATGTCGAAATGTGATTTCCATTGTAACAGTATTAAGAGGTGGAACCCTTAAGAGGTGATTAGGTCATGAAAGCTCCACCCTCACAAGTGAAATTAATGCCATTATAAAAAGGCAAGTTCGGTCCCCTCTTGCCCTCTTTTTGCCCTTCTGCCTTCCACCATGTGAGGATGCAGTGTTTAAGGTGCCATCTTAGAATCATAATTACCAAACCTGCCAGTGCCTTGATCTTGGACTTCCCCGCCTCCAGAACTGTGAGCCAATACATTTCTGATCATTATAAATTATCCAGTCTAAGGTATTCTGTTATAGCAGCACAAAACTGACCAAGACAGGTTCTTAGAGCCTCTCTTTTCTCTTTGAGACCAAGTCTCACTCTATTGACAGGCTGGAGTACAGTGGTGTGATCTCTGCTTACTGCAACCTCCGCCTTCCAGGTTCAAGTGTCCTGCCTCAGCCTCCTGAATAGCTGGTATGACAGACAAGCACTACCATGCCCAGCTAACTGTTGTATTTTTAGTAGAAATGGGGTTTCACCATGTTGGCGAGGATGGTCTTGATCTCTTGACCTCATGATCTGCCCGCCTCGACCTCTCAAAGTGCTGGGATTACAAGGGTGAGCCACTGTACCTGACCTATTTTCACTTCATAAATAATTTAATTTGGTTGTGCTTAGCTGGTTTTACAGAAATTAGAGGTGTGCACAAAGACAGTTTGAATTGTGGCAGTGCAGCAGTCTGCTAGTGATATACCCTGGGGAAGTTACTTAATCTCCTGGCAGTTTCTCATCTGTAAAGTGGGTGTTCCTGCCTCATAGAGTTGTAATGAGAATAAGATAAGACCTTTACATTCTAGACCTTGGAGCATAAGAAGCACTATCATAATTGTGAAGTGGAGTGGAGGAGAGCTGCCAGAAGCAGGCGCTCTGACAACAGTAAGATGTGACTATTTTCAGCCAGATAGTGAGAAGACACCATCTGTTTAGTAATCTGTTCTAGAATTTTCCTAGGATCTACAACAAGTAGTCTTGATTTTTAAAATTCACCTTTCAGCTCATTCTGAAAAATGAAGCATTAGCCAATCTATTCTTCAAAATCCCCTAGTTCCTAAATTTCTGTGATCTCTGCAGAAATTATCCCTAGTTCCAATTACCCATTATTCCATTACTCCTGCTTACAATTTGTCATTGGCCTAAAAACTGGCACTCTTTTAAAGTGACAAAGTCCAACTGATGAGAGAAGTCCAACTCTCTCATCAGCTATTCAGGGCTTAGTTCTTTCTTTGGTACATGTTCATTTCATCTTTTTCAGGTTGACTGTAATCTTCCTTAACAAAGAACCTAAAGTTGAATAGTTCTAATTTCTTCTCTCCAAATTTTTAGCCAGAACATGAAAGATAACCTTTTTTTGGACTGTAGGATTTCACTCAGCTATGAATAATTTTTTCTAGAAAACCTTATTTTGCTATCTTTGACAATTTTATAAATTTATAACATTTTATCAATTTATAAATTTCTTCTAAGTTTCTTGACAATCTTCTAACAAGCTGACTCTATTAATTATTTTTTAAATCTTATGTGGTATATGTCTTTTATACATGCTGTCTTTTTCTAAACTAAGCTCATTTGAGAGCTGACTCCCTATGCAGCTACATGTTTTGTTTTTTTTTTTAAGAAACATCTCCCTTTTTGCATCAATGTAGCCTCAATTGTATTGATAGAATTTTACCTATTAGAATTGCATATTCATCCCCCTTGAATCATATTTTAGAAGTCTTTGGTTATGGAATCAAAGTTGATTTTTTTTAGAGGCAGACTTGCTTCCTTATAGCCCATGGTAAGTGTTTGGTTATACCAAAAATTACTTTCATACCCGAATTGTATTCCAGGAACTCCTATGTATCACAGGATTTCTCAACGGTTTTCTTACTACCACTTGATCAACCAGTTTTTAAATTTTTGATCAGAATTAAGCTGACTAACAGTTCCCCTCTCTACTCTTTCACCTTCCAAGAGAACAAATTGTCATACATGCTAATGAAGAATCTATCAGTTTTTCCTTTCTTGTGTACTTAGGTTTTAGTACCAAAATTCAGTAACAATGGAGAGACCTTCCCTTAGAAAAAAGTTTATCAAACTGAGTCATTAGTGAATTATAAATCAATGAGTTGCAGTCAGCAATGGGAAATGAAATAGGAAAACAGTAAAATAGAATAGAAAAATAGCTGAATGCACTGCATAGAGTAAGAAAAAGCATTTTGTGAAACTTTTGTTTGTTTTATGTATGTGTAGCATTGTGGGCTATTGTATGACATAAAATATATTTCATGGTGCAGGTTATGGACTAAAAACTCTGAAAACCACCATTTTTAGATGATGATACATTATTTGTATTGTCATAATGACAAGTATAGAACATAATTTTTAAGATCAAATCACATTTAATACATACATATGTACATACATAATAAAATTGTAGCACAAAACAAAAAACAGCTGTTTTGTTGATTTTTACCATTTCATCTATTGATAGAAGGAAGATAGTTTAAGAATTTAGCAGCTGTATTTAAGCTAAAAATATATGACAACTCATGTTTTTGGTGCCTTAAAAGAAATACATTTTTTTTGTGAAAAGATATTTCTAGATATCAGAACTCCATATTAGTACTAGGATATCCACTAACTTGTTAAAATGAATTACTGAATATCCATAGACATCAAGCAATACATAACAATGCCCTACAGTATCCAATTTTGTTTCCAATTATTTTCTATAAAGGGTGACTGGTGGCCACATGGTAAAGCCCTGGAACCTGTCTTCCTACCACCTTATGACCCTAAGAGCACCCAGAGGAGTGACTTCCAAAAACCAACATGTCCACTGGTTCTGCCAGTCAAACACAGCAAGATGCAAAAGCCTTCTTATGGAATAGGTAAGGTTTTACAGTGGTAAAAACCTTTTTTTTAATCTCAAGTTATTGCTATCAAAACTAAGATGTATTAGATGTGCCAACACCTCCTGAAAAAAATTACTTCCTTACAGAAATTGAAAATGTATACACAGCTAGTGCAGCCCTTGGAAAGTTTATTTCTTCCTAATCAACAGTTTGTCTCCAAACACAGTTAATATGAGATAATGAAAATTGTACTGATCATTCATAACACCAGCCTCAAAGTCAGAAACTCAGTAGTATTCTGCTCATTGTTGTTGTCGTCACCACATTTTAATAATTATAATAACCCTTGTCATTTCAAGGAAGTTAGGCTATTGATAAAGGGGGCTATTAAATAATCTGTAACAATGACCTGTCCTTTAGAAAGATAATAAAGTTTGCTTCTGATTCAGGACGGTAGACTGAGCACACACATCGAAATTCCCTGCCTTCTAAGACCCTAATACTGTGAATAGTAGCAAAGCAATAAACTCATAAGGGTGAAGAGAATAGAAGGAAGAACTTTCAAGAATGTAGGAAAGAGTAGAAGCCTACTGATAACTAAAAGAGAATGAAGAAGCAATACCTAGAAGGAGGTGCAGCAATCTAACTGGCCAAAGCCCTGACTGAGCTACATGTGAGGCCAGCAGGCATAGCGGAAGGCAAGAATAAAAGTGGGTAGGAGAGAGTCAGAGAGTTACTTCAAAGCCTGTCCCTTAAATAAAGGCTCCAGTCACGAGCATTCCACCCTTTCCCAACATGAAGACTACTAGAACCCAGTGTCTTAGCCAGATGTCAACTATCACACCAGTCTTTTTGGTCAGTCGAGCCAATACCCCCCATTCCGTTCTTAATTATGAATGGACAACCAAAGATTAGAATTATGCCAATTAAAAAAAAGATTTAGAGGATAAAGGCAAGAAAATATCACAGGGCATGAAACAACAAAACAAAAACTTAGAAAATGAAAAGAAAAGCAAAATAGAGGATCTGTTTGGGATATCCAACTTTTCTGGAGCTCCAGAAAAGAGTAAAAATGAAGGTAGATAATTAGCAAAACATAACATTTTTTGAGCACATGCTATTTGCAAGGCACTTTATGGAACTTCCTAAATATTAATTTATTTAATTCCCACATTAACTCTATGCAATATAATAATGTAGAAATACTATGAATATTCTTATTTTTTCAGATAATAAAGTGTAGAGAGGCAAAATTTTACCTCTACCCTCTTAGTGTTTTTGGCTGGTCTTGATAATTAAATGGACACAAACATCAATAGGAGAAAAGCATACAAATTTATGTAATACAAGCTTTATACAGAGGGGAAGCTTCATAAGGAAAGGAAGACCCAAAGACACAGAAAGAACACATACACTAAATTGGACAAAGAGTAGCGAATTGTAAAAATGGGACAAGGCAAAGGACTCTGGGCTAGGGTAACCGGGTAAAGAAGTGACTAGGAAGGTAAGGGTGAGTTTAACAAGGTTTGTTTATATAGATTTCCCCCCACCTCAAATTCCTGTTAGACATAGGAATTTCATCTCCTGCTTTTGAGAAAGAGAAGAAAGGTCAAAATGTTTTTCTTGTATCTGTGCCTCTAACTTGCATCAAGTGCCTTTAACTCAATATAGTCAATATGCCAGTAGCATTTTAGAGTGGCATGTTCTGGACTCCTTTGAAAGCAAGCATGTAGTTAAAATAACTTTTCCAAAGCTACACAGTGAATAATTGGTATTTGAACCCAGATAGCCTGACTCCGGTACATATACTCATAACCAGTACTATACAGTACTCTATACAACCTCTAAAATAATAAGAAAGTTTCCCTACATAAAATGCATTAAAAGGGTCTACTGAGTGCTTCTAAGTATGAAGGGGGAAAAGATACACACCCTACATATCATTACAAAATTGCAAAACAATAATCATAAGCAGAAGTTTCTAAAAGCTTCCATAAAGGGATAGAAAAATAAGTCACCATCTAAGAAGTATCAACATGCAGGCAGGCAGCACTGATGCAAGAGTGCAATGGAGTTAATGTGTTCAAAGTTCTCAGGGGAAATGCTTTTTGACCTAGAAATGGGAATTCATGTGGCATGGATACTAAACCTTTTTCTTTTAAAGGGGCACTGGGCATTAGACCCACTGAAAAGAAAATGACATCCTGGCACAACATTTGGCCCTTAAATAAACAAAATATATGTAATAATGTAATATTATGCATGCTGTTTAGTAGCGTTCAACTTTCAGGCTCAATCCATAGACACAAGTTTAAATATGGCTACAGAACAGAATATATATTAGCAGCTTTAATAAGAAACATACATAATTGACAGAAAATGAGAAGAAGAGAAGAAGGGTGCCAAAATCATTATTTACAATATAGGTAATCAAGAGATACTGTCCAATGGGGATGAAACAAGGAACAGAAGTTTGAGGTTAAAGGTCAAAGGAACCAGTCTAAAAACCAAATTTATCTCTCTAACCCTGGCTTCTTTACTGAGCTTCAAGTTCACATTCCAAACACCTACTTAACATCTCCTCTGGAATAGCTAGTCACCTTTTCAAACTTGATATGGCTGGAATAGAATGTTTCATTTCCCCCATCCAAACTTATCCCCCACAGGTCTTCTCCATCTCAGTGAATGCCACCTCCACTCTCCCACCAGGTGCTCAAGTTTTGATAAGCTAGAAGGCATTCTAAAACTCTCTCTTTTTGCTGCCCCCAGTACATTCAATCCATCAGCAAATCTTGACTCTCTCTAAAATAGACCCCAAATCTATTCCTTTCCATCTTCATTGTAACCAATGCAGTACAGCCGCTATTACCCTGCTTCCTTTCTTCCTCCTCCGTATATATTTTCTGCATCATTGTCAAAGGATCTTTTTAAAACACAAATGATATTTTTCTCCTTTAGGTTCTCCAGTTACTTCTCACTGTTCATAGAATAAATTTCAAATTCCTCACTGTGGCCCACCCAGCCCTTTTGATCTGTCAAATTCACCTATATTATCTTGTATTACTCATAATTTAGAGACAGAAAATGTAACTCAGACCAAGGAGGTAGAGACACTCTCTGAAAGTCAAGCTTGTTTCCAAACCAGAAAGCTTGTGTCTGTGCCCTTGTATTCCTGTAAATTAAAATCTGAGTAAGAAAAGAAAACAGTTGTTTCTATAAAACATTCAAAGTTGAATGTGCAGACTTGATAAAAGGTAATAAATTTCTAACTTTAAAAAATGCTCATTAGGTATAGGCAAAATAACTAAGAGGAGGTGGACTGAATTCTTTAAATCTTGAAGGATTCTGCACTCATTTTACTTGAAAGTTCTTTTTACGTTTGCATTCTGTGTGAAAGAAATAGAAACTGGAAATGATGCATTAGAAGCATGGTTTGTACAAGAGACACAAAGGTGAATTCCAATCAGTGGACACCTCCTCTTTTTTTTTTTTTTTTTTTTCTTTTCTTTTTTTGAGACGGAGTTTTGCTCGTTACCCAGGCTGGAGTGCAATGGCGCAATCTCGGCTCACTGCAACCTCTGCCTCCTGGGTTCAGGCAATTCTCCTGCCTCAGCCTCCTGAGTAGCTGGGATTTCAGACACCTCCTCAAAGTGGATTGGCATGCCAATAAAATTTGATGAACTGGTTAAAAAAATATGTAATATATAACGTCATATATATTATTTATAATGTTAGAACATTGTATATATATATTATATATCTGATATATAATATATATTTATATTTGAAATATATATCATATATATATTTTTTCTATATGGTATATGATTTTTTGCTTTAACTAACTTTCTTAGTAACCAACCACTCCTTTCCTTATAAGGAGCAGCTATGGTACATCTGCTACTCAGGTTGAAGGGATGTAGAAGAGTGGTGAAAAATGATACTTCCGCTACTCAAGTTGAAGGGACTTAGTAGAGTGGTGAAAGATGATATTGGAGAGATGGGCTTTGCTCTAGGTTGATAAGGCAGGGCTCAGTCATTTCATAAGGGATCCTCCAAAATCAGGGTCTGTAGATCTGGTCTGTTTATCTACTTAATTTGCACAGAGAGAAATCCTCCAAACCTCTGCCTAGGATAGAGGACAGAAAATCCATGAGTCCCTTAAGCAGTCCTCTGCAATGTCACCTTGTCCCCCTGCCCCATGCTCCCTGACTCAGAGGTATCTGATGCCTCCCTATTCTGGGGAATTCCTGGAATGCTGTGGCATGAATTGGCTTGATTTTTACCCCACCTCCTTCCCCAAAGCACTTAACTTTTAGTTTTCTGTAGTTTACTTGAATCTATTGCCACTTATCATCCATCTGTTTTCCAGCTTCCAAACTGGTTAACATCCACACTCCCATTTAGTTCTTTTTTTCCTTAAGTATGTAAGCCCTCTTAATTTCTGTAGTGTGATTGTATTGGGGCTTGGGAAGGAATGGGGGAAATGCATATTGAATTTGCCATGTTTAACTGGAAATCAAGTAACTTTGTCACCATCAACACTCCTTTTATAATTTAATATTGGTTCTGTATTAAACTTAGTATTGTGTGAGCCTGAACCCATTAAATTTAATCATTCTGTTTTCCTGAATTTATGAAGTGAGAATAGTAATTTCTACCTCGCAGGACTGTCGTGAGAAACAAATGAAATAACATGTAAAGTGCCTAACACAGTATTTGCTACATAGTAGACAATAAATAGTAACTGTTTCTATTATTAATTATTGCACTGTACTACCTTATGTGTTGAGTTGAAATTTAGCTTGAGACCTGGCATGGTTCTTTCTCTCTCTGTTCTTTTATTGGTATTTCTTTTTCTCTCTCTATTCTTTTATTGGTATTTCTCATTGCCAAGTTCATTATTGTATCCTAGGGTCTAATATGATGCACAGATTCAATAAATATAGTTAAATGATAATTACACATTCTTCAACAGATTAATTTAAAGTCAATGTAAAGTGACATATACTATAAAATATAGGCCTGCAATTTAT